TCTAAAAACAAGCTTCATTGAGTATCATGCAAGATTTATTTTACCCATGTTTAAGCTTTGTTAAATCTTAATAAAACAGCAGATGTTGAAAATTAAGCATGATTAATACATTAGTACATTGAAATCACACCGCTGTCATGGTAACAGTTTTGTGTTCAGAAATAATGAAAAATTTCATTAAGTTATAGAAGAAAAAAAATTAATCTTTTTTAATGACTTTTTTTATTAAGTTTAAAAAAATATATATAAAATAGAGTGTCTAATTTTTTTTTATTCAAAAAATGTCAAAAAAGGGTTGTTTTTTTTTAAAAAAAAAGTACTTTGGGGCCGTGTGTCACCCTTAAACTTTTTTTAAATTAAAAAAAAAAAAACTTACATAAATAACAAGGGTCTGCGTACCTTATAGCTTCCACTCTAGTTTTAAAAAAAATTTCACCTCAATCTGAACCACCCTTTTTTTTAAGTTATTTTTGATAAAGTTAAGTTTTTATTTAGCTTTTTACTTAACTTTTTATTTAACTTTTTATTTAGATATTTATTATATCAATGAAAAAGATGAATTAGTTGATACGGAAGAAACTAAAATTCGTCGAGTTAGCGTGACTTAAGCCTTGATAAAGAAAATTTTTTTTTTAATTATTTTTGGACTGGTTTGATTGCAAAATAAAAGCCTCTTGTATTTGGAAAATGTTTTTTATGCAGTAAAAAAATGTAACGATATTTTTATACTTATATTTACTTATATTGCCGTGTGTTTATTGTGTTGCTGCTGTTAAAGAGTACAACTTTTCTCCTCATAAAACTTTTTTTGACCAAGATTTGTGTATACTATACTTATATATATTTATATATACTTATATATATACCCAGGTCACTGATTCACTAATAGTGTAACGCTGACGTATTAATCTTGTAGAAGTTATTTTATTTTAAAGCGCGTTAATTTCTCAAAAAATATCACGCATCAAAAAAAAATTCATTTTGTTTAAACTTTACTAACTTATTGAGTTACAATATTGTGCGGTCCAGTGGTTAATCAAATCCTTTGGAGTATATAGTAAGTGAATTATGTAAAACGGTATACGTAACAACAGCTTCTATTAAGTTATCTTGATATTAAATTTAAGTTGCACATTCCAACATCTGATGCAAAATCAGTCCGCTTTCTCTATGCTATCTTTCTAACTCGACTTCTTCTGAATTTTACTCTATAATCCTTCGTTCTTCTTAAAATCATTTATTCTTGGTCTGTGAAGCGAGTTATGATGCTCTTTTGTGCCCTCTTTATTGCAATTAGCTGGAGGAGGATAAACCACAATACCAAATCCTTTGGAGTCTTTTTTCGTTTTTATTTTTTTTTTTAATATTTTTTATTAATTAACTAATTGTTGCTAGCATCAGAAACGCATTGAGCGTTAATTTCAGAATCAAAAAGTCTAAAATACAATCTTATCTCTGGTTATACAACATCAGTTAAAATGACAGGGAAAACTTCCTCATTAAATGCTCTTTTCGATGCATTGTGACGTGATCATTAGGTCTTTGTGATACTTTATGACGTGATCATTAGGTCTTTGTGACGTGATCATTAGGTCTTCGCGAGGAACCAGAGAGAATGAGTAGTTCATGATTTGATAAATGAAGACGAATATTTTTTTTGTTAGTAACAACTTCTTAAAAAAAGTTTAAATAACAAACAAAACATAGCCTGATCAGTATTTATTCACCAAGAGTAAATAATTAGCTTTGATGCCAAAAAAGACGTTAATAAAAACTAAGAGTTTTTATTAACGTCTGTTGAACGTTCAAAAGACGTTTTTTTTCAGACCAACAGATGATCGATCCTGCAGTGGCAAACGATTAATAAGAGGTTCTTTTTTGCAAGGATAAATTCCACACTTAGCAAAACCTGATATTAAATTTTCACTAGAAGTGTCTTTTATTAATTCCAGTACTTTTTTTAGAAGTGGTGGAAAGCGCCCTTTTCGAAGTGTTGTGGATTTTTTACCTGCAGGTGATTCTCCCCACAAAGTCAAAACAGTTTTCCACTTACTTTTTAGTAGCCTAAAATATGCAACATCTAGAGGCTGTGTTAAATGCGATGAGTTAGGTGGTAAAGACGCAAATACTATGTTATTTACTTGACATTATTTTAAAACATTTTGACTGATGTGTTATGATAAATTATCCCCAATAAGAACTTTTTTTCCAGTCTGTTTTTTTCAGTATAGGAAGCAGGTGAGCAGTAAACCACTCCTCAAATGTGACACTATCTAACCATCCGTGTTTTGTGCGATTGTATCTAGTTCCATAGGGACCGTTTTTCCACGTTGACCATAGATTTTCTGATTTGTAGACAACGTAAGGTGGTATTGTACATCCAGCAGCATTGCAACAAAACATGACTGAAATATTGGACTTTGATAAGTTCATTACTCTTTCAAGGTATTTACAACCTCTACAACACATAATTTTTTTGCGGCCTGGGTTATCACTTAAGTTTGTTTCATAATAGTTGTATATATTTTCTGCTGGCACATTTGTAAAAACTTGGCTGAGGTTTTCAATAAACTCGCTTAAGGTTTTTTCGTTAACAGCAGCCCGATAACGTTTTATATTAGTTGCTAACCTCAAAGTGAGCATAGGGTGTCTTTTTAAAAATAGTTTACTCCATTCAAGTCCTGGAAAATTGTTTCTAAACTGCGGAATAGTTTGTTTTGGGAAGAGAGGTAATCCTTGACAATAAATCTAAAATCCAATTCCTCAACAGGGACTCCAAACTCAGACACTGCCAAGATGTGAGAAACAAAAGAAGACTCTTCCAAAGCAGTATATGTTGTAGGATGTCCTGGTTTTTGATTGTGTTTTAGCTTTAGTTTACTTTGAATGGTCATTCTAGATATGCAAAAATGTTTAGATGCTACTCTCTGACTCATTCAGCCTTCATTAATAGTATTAAGGCACTGTTGGACTTTTCTTGAGAGTAATCTACATATTTTCTGGAGCCTGGTCTCCTAGAATACATTCTTGACATTTTTTATAAGCTGAAGTATAAATCAATCAATATATTTTACCAACAATAAAAATACTGCTTACAATATAATAAAACTACACAATACTATTTTTGAATAGAAAATGCATAGGAACCTTTTTTGAAGGGCAACGAATATTGATTTTTGTAAAAGAACAGTGCAAATAGTAAGTAAAAACTATTTTTTTTTTTTTTTTTTTTTTTAGGTGCCCCAAGAAGTCCGTACGGTCTTATCACAGAGCACCGCGGAAGAGCATTTAATAGGAAGTTCACGCCTCCTTCCCAACCGATGTTGCATAGCTTGTCCAGAAGTGGGGTTTGAACCACGGATCTTACGTTTCTGAGGCAAGTGCGTTACCACTGCGCCACGGCTGCTCTATTCAAAGCAGAGACTAAAATTATTTAAAAACAATAACAAAAAAGTCATTAACATATAACATTATATATATTTTATTAATATATAATATAATATTATATGTTAATTACTTTAATTTTATTACATTTGTTATAATAATAATGATAATAATAAATTAAATAAAGAAATAAATCACCGATCATATCACCAAAATAAATGAACAAATGTATATTAATTTAATATAAATAAAATGATTGGAGATTTAATAAATGATATGGGGTTACTTAAAGTCCGGATTAAAGTAACCCCATTTTTACATAAAAACTAACTTAAATATGATTAGGTATTTTTTTCTTGAAACTAAATTTAAAAAAATAACTAAAAAAATATACAAATCTTTTAACTAAGGTATATAATAAAATTAATAATAGTTTTTGTATTTAATTTCATTTTCAATAATCTTTTTTTTTTCTTTTTCATTTTCTTATGAAGCTTTCTCAAAAATTTTAGAAGTGTTCTGATTATCCTTGATAGGAAAGGGTTTTTTTTTTAGTTTTCGTTATTTCATTTGGATACGTTTCAATATATATATATATATATATATATATATATATATATATATATATATATATATATATATATATATATATATATATATATATATATATATATATATATATATATATATATATATATATATATATATATATATATATATATATATATATATATATATATATATATATATATATATATATATATATATATATATATATATATATATATATATATATATGTGTGTAAAAATTTACTTAAAAAGGTATCACAAACTTTATTGTAATGCTTTATTATATCTTTGATTTTTTACGTCAAGTTAATTTTACGTCGAAAACATTTCATAAGAATTTTTTTTTCAATACACAATCGTGCAATATACAATTTAATAAGGCGGAAAGGCAATTTAATAATTACCTTCCCACGAGTTAGTAAAAGTTAAATTAATAATATACCACCAATCATGCGTTATAATACGCAAGACCGGCTTGATGGTGGTTCTAGCTGTGGAATAGCTCAAAACTAGCGCGCTTAGAGGTCTTGAAACTTGGCCAGCTGTAACTTATATCTTAAAAAAGTACTAATTTCCGATCACAATGTCATATATTACTTTATAAACTATATAGACTACGTCATGTATTACGTCATACATTAATTATGTCATATATGTTGAAATAAAAATTTTTAATTTACGCAACGCAAACTTTCTTAATAAAAAAACAAAATAGATCAAAAGTTTTTCCTCACAGAGTCCTAATTTAAATAAAAAATCAAAGTAGTTGTTTAACTTTAATCATAGTCATAATATACATAGTGATATTATGACCATAATATACATAATAGACCATAATATACATCTGATATTATGACCATAGTCATAATATACTGATATTATGACTATGGTTTAATGAGAAGCGCCGTGTAAAAGTACTTTATATCTCTTACTTCAGTTTTTTAAATACATTTTTCATTGCGTAATTTATGGACGATCCTTAACGAAAAACATCTCCAGAATTACTTTTTGGCGCAAATTCATAAAGAAAAAAAAAAGTAAAATAGAAAAAACATCTTTGCGCAAAAAAGTCTGACGAATTATTGTCAACTCCATAACACGTAACAATTTTTGAAATTCTGGTTTTAATTTTAAAATAATGAAAAATTAAGGTTAATATACTGATAAACATGCTATTTTTTAATTTTAATTTTTTGAATTTTCGAATTGAACTTTTTATTTGTTAAAAAAAAAAAAAACGTAATGCAGTGTAAAAATAGCAAAGATTCAAAGTTTAATCATAGCTCAAAATGATTGCTGCTTGTTGGATTTTAGCTTTAGTTGGTTTATGAAATATACGCTTCCAGCTTTTTATTTATAGCATAATATAAATTTTTATCAAATTTTGTTTTTAACTATTAACTGATAAGTTATATTATCTTCCTCCGTTTATTGATCAATGACATCACTGACGTCTAATTGACGTCAGGATTTTTTCTTATTAAATCTAAATAAAATACAATGAATATTCAAAATTATGATCGTTTTAAAACAAGTTTATGTAAAAATGTATAAACAAACGTCATCAGCAATGATGATTATGTTTATACAAGTACATTAATTAGTTAAACTAATTAATAGTATAAAATGCACATTGTAATATCCAGTGCAATATCTGTTTACTTTCTCTATGCTATCTTTCTAACTCGAGTTCTTCTGACTTTCACTCAACTTTCACTCAAACAGTTCTTCTTGGGTGATGATGCTCTTTAATGAGTTAAACCTGTAAATTCTACTTTTTAAAAATATATAATAGTAACATTCGAAAATAAGCGGAAAACACAAAAAATTGAAGTTTAAAATGTAAATTTTTGTTTTCAAGAAATGCAAATCGTTCGGATCCCTCCTTAACTACGCTGACTGCTCAAGAAAATGCAATATATTCCATTTTGTTGAGTCTTTGAACGGACCTGTGAAATATATTGCAGTTGTTTGAGTTTTTGAGAGAACCTATGCTTTGCACAGTGTGCAATATATTGAATTTCGTTGAGTGCCCAAAAGCTTTCTCTTTTCCTCATTTTTATTGCTTTCTTTTCAAAAGTTGACTTTAGTGTAATTTTTTGTAAGAAAAAAATGCTAAAAAAAAAGTAAAAAGGTATCAACCACATTGCTCCCAAAACATATCTACCACATTGTTCCCAAGATATATCTACCACATTGTTTCAAAGACATATCTATCACATTCTTCCCAAAACATATCTACGACATTGTTTCCAATAATTGCAGGAAATAACCACAAACTGTTTTTAGATGAGTAAGATAATTTAAAAAAGATTTTTACAAATAATATAGATCAAGATGATGAAGCAAATGATGATTGAATACCAGGAAATGTTAATCTTCAACAACTCACTCTCATAAAAGTTTTAAAATTAAAAAGTAATAAAAAACGGTTGTAAATAATATTAAAAACACAATAGAAATTAATGTTAATTTAAATAATATTGATGACTCTGGATCGGGGCCAGAATAGGTAAATAGAGGACCTATCTAAGTTTAAACTTTACATCTAAGATGTTACTGGTATGTTACTGATGTTCTGCTTTGCAAAGTATTAGTAAAAATGAAACTGTTCGTTCTCTAGCAGCATTTTTATATTTAGCTGAACTTATTAAGTTCATTAAAAAGCTTAGTTATAAATTGCATGAGCTAAAATAAATTGCTCAAACAAAGTAAATAAAATGTTTAACGTTAGCAGAACTATTAGCGTAGTTTGATCCCTTATTAAAAGAGTATATTTCGAACAGTGTTTCAACAGCAAAAGGAGATTTAAAACATTTATATGTATATATTTATATATTGTATATAAATAAAGTAATAATAAATAGACAAATACATAGGGATGACCAGGGATAGTTGAGCATAGGGGCAAGTTGGACGATTAAAATATCTCAATAACTACGTCTTTACATGATAAAACATCTATTGAATGAAAGGTAGGGAATTAGAATTAAATACAATCCGCAACAAAAGTTTGTTGGACAGCAGTTGAGTAAGATACATGGACGCTTTTCTATTTTGGACCAAAAAGTATGAAAAAAATTATTGCTGATTTTTTCTTAGACGCTTATAAATCTGCCATCATTTAATATTTTACACATTTCTTTGACTAAAAAAATTTTTTCGTTTTTTATTGTTGATTATTAATGTCTTTAAAACCTAAATAATGTGTCACCTTATATAGTAAGGTTAAGTTAAGCAGCTTTAAAAAAAAAAAATAATAAAATAAAACTTAACTATCAAACACAAAAAAACGACTTTGATTAGAAAGAATTTTGCGGTACACTAATTTTTTTTTTTTTTAATTAGTAATTTATAAATCGGGCTTCAAAGTTCAAGATAATTATATAAATCCAAATTTATATATTTTATGACACTTTCTTGCTATTTAATTTTTCTTCTCTTACTTACGTCATTAAAGTGTATAAAACAAGTTGATAAATTATAGACACGGTAAATGTTAACAATTTTATTGGTAATCTAAGTTCCATATCTTAAACAAATAAAAAAATATTTTTATAGGTTAAAGTATCTTATCAATATTTAAAAAATTATGTATATCCGACGCACCGTTAATGTGTTGTATTAGATTTAGTAAAAATTGCTCAATAAGCCTGCTCTACTAAATTAGGGGCTATCCATTGATTATGTCAACAATTTTTTTTGCAAATTTTACCTCCCCCTCCCCCTAATCAACAACTTGTCCAACTTCTAGATACCCCCTCCCCCGCCCCTATAAAATTACGTCTACATTTAATTACAACACCCCTTCCCCACTCATCAATCCTCCAAATAAAATAAAAATGGAAAAAAAACATTTTTTTTCCTTTTTTTAAGAGATTAAGTTTATTAATAAAAGTAATATTGTTGACGTCAACTTTTCTTTATCTAATCCAATCCTCCTCCTAGTCAACAGTTATCAAAAAATCTTTGACTCTCCCTACCCCTTTATTTTGTTGACGTAATTAATAGACAGCCTCTTATAGAAAGAAATAACAAATTTTATTTATCAATTTTCGCTGTTTCTTTTTTTGGTAAATAATAAAACTTGCACTAATTTTTCTGGATCGCTGAAATTTTATGATAAAATATCTTAAGAAAACTTTTACCAAAACCAATACTAGCTACAGTTTGTTTTAAAATTTGTCAGTAAATAGCTTGTTATAGATTTTTAATCAAGTATTATTTTGCTGAATAACAAACTCTTTCAAACAATATATATATATTTTCATTTTTTGTTTAACAATTTAAATTATTGATTTTCTTTAATAAATAAATATATTAATAAAAATATTTCTAAAAATAAATAAATTATGAACTTTATAAATTCAAAAGTTTTTTAAAAAGTTTTATGAAAAGTTTTAAGCAAGTTTAAAACTCATTTTTTCTTTCTGTTTTAAACTCACTTATTCTCTCAGTTTTTAACTCAATTTCTGACGAGAATGAGCTATGCTTTCTTTTTTTGCAAATACAAAAACAAATGCTTGCTAGTAATGTGCAAAATGTTTTACGGCATTCTCTACTCGTAAAACCATAAATAAACGGGTTTATTGTTGATCTTAATATCGGTAAAATGTCAACAAATATAATATGGGGCCACACCACTGCATTGACTCCTTGAAACCAATACGGGTACAATCTTAGACCAATTGCCAATATGCTTACTGGAGTCCAACATACTAAAAATAGCAGGTACATTGCCATAAAGGTTATTGTTAATTTTCGGAACAAGTAACTATGCTTATATTTTTCCAAAGTAAAGTTAGATTTTGACTTTGCAGAGATTTCACAGATTTCGATTAAATTTACGCTAACTATTCCTTCACTTTTATCAGTCTTCAAATATGTTGCTTTAGTTTGTTGGAGAGTTTGTTTTTTAAACAATTTTGAGAAATACTTTACCAAACTTGATTTTGAACTGCATTTTTTGTTTGAAAATTTTTTTGTATTTTTCATATTTTTTCGAGAGATTTGAAGAACACGCATAAAAGCAACAAACATGACTGCCGCTGGAATGTAGTAAACAAAAATATATAATATAACAATATAATACTTATTTTTAGCAATACACTCTTGTGTCTCAGGTAATATTTCAATAGAGTCCTTAGAAAGAAAGCCCCATTCAAAGTTGATTAGAATTCCGCAAAACAATGCATATAACCAAATACTTCCTACAAATAATTTATTTTGACAAGATTTTATCTTGTTGTTATAATAATTTGGAAAACGAAGAGCAGCAAATCGATCAACTGAAATAGCAAATAAATTAGTTATAGAGGCAACAAATAAAATGGTATCTAACGTAATATAAAACTTGCAAGCATTTAAACTATGGCAAAATCCAAGGTTGTTGTATGCTTGAATAACTTTGATTGGAACAATAAACAATGCAACTGATAAATCACTTGCCGCAAGAGATACTATAAAATAGTTGATCTTGGATTTCTTTAATATAGACGATCGTACAACTGACAATAGAACAGAAAAATTGCCAACAAAGCCAAACAAAAATAAAAAGACCCAAAAAACGATATAAAAAACATATTTGGGTAAAGGACCTTTGGAACATTTAAAATCTTTGTAGTGATTTTGACAGTCTGGAGGGTTCTGAGATAATGATGCTTTAATAGAATTTCTGATACTTCTCCATTGCAACGTTTTATTTGTATGATTAAAACAGTGTGAAGCATCGGATAAAATTTTTACCCTCTCTGGATTGCCGGTGTGGTCTTTAAAAGTATAAAGTATGCAACAGTAAATATATATATTTATAGTTGTGTTTGCAATCATTCTATTCTCATTAAACCAGTTTGTTTGGAGCTTCTAAAAAAAAGATTTTCTTAATTAATTTTATGTTGAGCCTCTTTTTATACTGCATAACTACATAGCAACCAAACTTTAAGTATATAGAGACGGAAATTAAAATTTTTAGTTTCGAAACAGAAACTAAAATTTTTTAAAAAACTTTTCAAAATGTTTTTAAACCAAACAGTATATAGACGTTCTAAGCATTATGTAGAAATCTAACCACGCTTGCACAATATCTTTATTGATAATTTATGTGGGCGAGGAAAGAAAGAAAATTTGTCACCATGTTTTTCTGTCGGTTTATGACGCCAACTCTTGTTTTATTTAAACTCTCATTAAACATATACGTTTATATATAGAAACATATATGTTTTTATACATAGTTTTCAAAGAGCAATCAAGTGACTCCTTGTGGCAAGTAGCTTTAAATTATAAGCTACTGTACCAAATGTTTATTTTTTGTTTTTGTTTTAGTATTTAGTTTCTTTTTAATAAAAGTTGTATAGCAAATTATATTAAATACTTATTTGGTTATATGTTTCTACAAATTTTTCTTAAAAAGTTGAAATTTGTTGAACTTTTCTATTTTACTATTTTAAGCCAATACATATCTACGTGACCGAAATCTAAACCTCGAGTGACTTTATACAAACGTGACCTAAGTCTATTTTTTTTCTTGGCATCACAAATATTATTTGTAACTAATTATCAACTCGCTAGAATCTGACACTATAGTGTATTCTAATTACAAAAACGGTAATGGGAGGTAAGAGCGAAAAGTTTAAAAGCGAAAGAACGTAAGAGCGAAAAGTTTTAAAGCGAAAGAACGTTAAAGCGAAAAGTTTGAAAGCGAAAACCGGGAAATCGAGTATCGCGATAAGTTAAACAGCAACAACAACTGAAATTTATTGAAATTTTTTCTGATTTTGTTATTATCTCAATGTTTTATTACAGATTATTTAGCGTTTAGATTTTATTTTTTTTAAACTGTTAATATTTTTATAATTATTAGTTAGTTATAGTTTAGAATTATTTATTTGATATTCTAGCTGAGAGTTATAGTTACAGTTAGAGTTTATTAGATTAAATAAATAAAAAAAACTTATTGTATATAGTTTAGAGTTTATGTATATAGTTTTAGTATAGAATTCAATGCATATAGTTTAGAATTATTTATTCATTTGGTATTCTAGCTAAGACTTGAGTTACATTGCGACAAAAAGGTATAAAATCTTGCATAAAAATTATAATTGCACTACAAGTTAATAAGTTATAGATAAAAAAAAAAAAGATTTGCATAATTTCTTATTGATATTATTTAATTTTAATTTGTTTTTTGAAATTTATGCATTAGATTTCAGCCAAAAAATTGTTTTAATGTTTAAATAAAAATTATTCATAAAATTAGAAAGATACGAATTTATAATGTTCTTTTGTTTTGATTAGGTATGGTGAGTTAGGCTGTCTACCCTTAATACTTTTAGAAATGATGAGATAGTTAAACCTCAAGAAATTGATGTTTAAATTTTGAGTCATAAACTAAAAGCCAGGGCAAATATATCAACACAACATATTTGAAAACGAGACATGTAAAGGTTAGTTTTTAATATAAATTATTATCTAGTAGATAATAATATCTACAAATATTACTATTTATGTAAATTAAGGCAAGCTTTTATCAATAAACAACTCTTGAAATATAAATGCTTAATTGGTGGTGTGCAAAGACCTTTTGCTTAAAACAATTGTGCTATATTTCAGTCTTTGAATATATTGTCAACTTATGATGCAATATTAAATTTAAAAGTACTCATCAATTCAAACATCTCTATAAATATTTATGTCTTATCTCTATAAATCTTACATCCATCCCTGCATGGAACACTTTTGCCATATCTTAATCAGAACTTCCAGTAATGGCCTTTCTCTTTTAGACAAGGTACAAAAAGGAATTGTTTTTGCACCTTGACCTTTGCAGCCAACCTCCAACCATTAGAATATTATCATAATGTTGCTTCTCTTTTTATTTTTTATAAATACAATTATGGACACTGCTCTAAAGAGCTAGCATCTCTTGTATCATCTACTAAAACTCACTATTGTGTTACTCATCATTCAATAAAGGCTAATCCCTTAATATGACTGTTCCTAAGTGCCTAAAAAGTTCTAATCTATTTTTTCGTGAAACTTTTTTTTCACTTGCTTAAGCTGGTTTGTTTTTTTTCATATAATTTGCAATCTATTAATTTTTTCTGTTAGTTGTTATTTTACTCTATAAATTTCATCTTTTCTCTAATAGTAGGTTCTTGCAGTCTTGTTGGAAATGAAAATGTTAAAAAAAAAACATTTCCAATAAAAGCCCTCTAATATATTGTAATAGCTGGGATGTTATGCATTTTACACTTTTTTTTTGTGTAACAAAATTCTTTTTTTAGTAATAAAAAAGTTACCAATACAATAAACTTAATAAATGATATAAAATTCCCAAAGAAGTAAACTTAAATTAGATTCATATAGAGCCAGCAGTCATTTTCGTTTTAAAAACTATTTTATCTAGTTTAAAAACAACATAACAGTATACTGAACATTAAGTAAATAAGATAATTAAGGCTATTACAAACCAATCTGTAGACAAAATTATAAAATATTTGTGCTAAGTAATACAAATGTAGAAATAAAAACTTTACTGAGCTCACAAACAATTCATATCATAAATATTTACAAATCATGTAATTAAAACATAAAAAGTAAATAAGTTTCTCACCAATCAATCATCACCATTGAAACTTTTTAAACTAATTAGCCAATTAGTCTTTTTCACAATTAATGACTGAATTTTTAATTTTACATGCAAAGAATCCAAAAAACATTACGCAGAATAATTTTTGGGATATTGGCATGTTTTTATATTTCAATAAAATGTAGAACTGCCTTCAAAAAATCTTTTAGGCATCAACCAAGAAGATTCACACAGTTATTAAATCATACTCTTAAATTGTTCTAAAAAAAAAACCACATTACAAAATAAGAAAGTAGTTAAAAATAAAATAATCTTCTACTACCTCTTGTAAAATGAACTATAAATAATTTTGACAAAAATGTTGCTGAAATTCAACAGGTGGGAAAAAAAAGGACACTGTACAGCTTTCTGTTTACAGAACAAATCAAATCAAAACAACATCATAAAAAAGTTGTAGCAAAATAAAATACCTAAAAGTTGAAACAACATATTCCAAGTGTAACAACATCGATCAAGATAATGCCATACATAATAGTCACAATATAAGTATCTTTATTATAGAGACTTATATTGTGATTTTTGACTAATAGACTATAAGTCAAATTTCAGGCAAATGCACCATATAAAAGCCATTTTTGTCATATAAATAATGTCATTAAGTCATATTTAAATACAACATATAAAAGTCATTTTTGACACAGGCTTTAACTTAAAAGCCTAAAGTTTAAGCTATAATTCATATTTCTAAAGTGAATGTCTGATAACAATTATTAAAATTATTTTAAACAAAAATATTAAAATACTCACTTTGCCTTGCAGATAATTAAACAGTAAATATAACTGGCCGATATGCTGGCACATAAAAGAGAACTACTTCTAACTAACTAAATTTTTTATGCGAAAACAACTAATTTTCCCTATTATAATTGGTATACACACTTAACTTTTATGCTTTGTTTTGGAGCAAAATTCTAAACAATTCAATTGTGCCCTACTCAATTTTCTATAAAGTATAAACTTTTAAAGTTTATAATAAACTTCATGAACTTATTTCTGAAATTGACTCACTTCAATTGTAACAACTTTAAGATGACACAATTTAATGAAAAAGAATAATAGGTTAACTCATCTATATTTATATAAAAATAATAATGTTACCAATGTTATTAAAATGTTATTAAGATGTTACCAATGTTATTAAGATGTTATTAAATCTTAATAACATCTTAATTTAAGATGTTACTAATGTTGTTAAAAAAATTTTCTCGCTTAACCAATCGCATTCGCTTTTAACTTTTTCGCTTTCCCGACCTTTCGCTTTCAAAATTTTCGCTCTTAAAAGTTTCGCTTTAAAGACACCGAACCACAAAAACTGTAGGTTTTTAATTAGACTCTTTAAAATTTTGTACGCTTGACTAATTGATTTTTTTGCCTTAATGATCTCGTTTTGAGCTTTATAATATCCTTTAGGCTGTAATAGTTTTACGGCCAAACGCGTTTAAGTTTTTATATCATTTTACTGTTATTATATGTTTTATTATTAAGTTAATTAAAAAAGCTACATAATACAATATTTTCCTTCGTAGTATGATTATATTAAACTGTATTATTTTACATTTTGAAATTGCATTTCGTTAAACAGTAAAAATTAAAAAACAATATAGAAATTAGACTTTTTTAGAATGTTTAAAGTTTTCTTTTCAATATTTTTTGTAATAAATACTGGTATTTAATTTACAATCCAAGAGTTTTTTCTTTTTTGATTGTCATTACTACAATTGATTGCGGTTTAAATAAATCCTTTAATAACTGATAAATATTGCTTCATTACGTAAATTTCCGCCGCCACAAACGTAAACTTTGAAAACATTTTATTGCTAATTAAAGCAAATTTTCGTAAACAAAAAAGCAACCACATTTCCCCGAACAACTTGCATTAATTATTTACTAAATATTTTAGTAAATAATTATTACTAGTCAATAAAACAAAAAGTTGAATTATATATACAAGCCGAAGTGGCTCAATTGTCTTAGGCTCGTAAAACGGGTTTGTAATAAACAAATGTTGTAATAATAAAATATATAATAATAAATCATAATAATGATTAAATAGTGATGGGTTTACGTAGATGGTTCAACATAAAAGCATTTACAGTTTGGTTATAAAAAGTTTTAAATGGAACACAGACAATTCCGTCTAAAAGTTGTAGCTTCCCAGCAAGGACAAGACGTATTCAATACGTATTATTTTAATATTATTCACATCTTTTCTAGAGTAGACGATAAAAATACGCATAAAAAACGAATTTTCAAGATGAGTTTTAGCTGAATATAAAACTTATCTTTAAGAGACGTATTAAATACGTATTATTTCTATATATGAAAGATATCTTTCGCAAACAAATATAATACGTGTTTAAAACGTCTTTAAAAGACTAAAGTCATCATTAAAAAATGTT